CAATGCCCGGCCGCACCGGGACACGCGTCTGCGCGTGTGCGCGTGCGAGAAAGTTGCGTGGCCCGGCCAAACGCTGACCTTACATACTGTTCGCGCTATATACGTGTATATATATATATATATGTGTGTGTGTGTGTGTGCGCGTTCGTAAGCGTTACGCGAACGTTTCGTCGCCATTCGACACGGCCTCTCGAGCAATTTTTGTCGCTAACAGAAATACATGGGTATTTTTCTTAATCTCGTATCGCGACAGGAAAATATTTTTCCTTTAGTTTTTATTTCGGTTCCTATTTTTTATTATCGATACACGTATACTTTTGCAAACAGATAATATATATCTTGATTTTGTTTAATTTTGTTTATTTTTTATATTGATAAGAGACGCTTTTTAACAGATACGAGCAGTGCAAATATTTCCTTCGACGAATGTCTGAGTATATAAATGACACTTTACTGTTCTGCAATATAGTAATTGTGTGCAATTTATTTTAAAAATACGTACGTGTAAAATATTAAAAATGGAAAATGGAAAATAGTCACCATTGATTTTGTTTAATTTTGTCTATTTTTGATATTGATAAAAGACGCTTTTTAACAGATACGAGCAGTGCAAATATTTCCTTTGACGAATATCTGAGTATATAAATGACACTTTACTGTTCTGCAACAGTAATTGTGTGCAATTTATTCTAAAAATAGGTACGTGTAAAATAGTAAAAATGGAAAATAGTCACCATAGTTAACTTTATTTAAAAAAAAAAAATGTCAAAGAACAAAGTGATAAATACTTTATCTTTATTCCGATATATAAATACGTACATATTGTATATATATTTGTCAAGATTGACGATATAATATACATATATGTCGACCGTATTTTACTCGTATTGTTATTTAGGTAATAACTAGTTAATTAGTTAAAAAGTTAATAACTATTAACTTAGCTTAGTTAATTTAAAATGTATTAATCAACTAGTTTTTAGTTTATTCTTGACCTTAAACTTTTTTCCTAAGTTAAATTAATTTTATCTCATGTCCTCAATTGTATCATGTTCATTTGTCGTCAATTGTAATTACCAAAAAATATATTTCTATATAAAAATCAAAATTTCTTTGTTATTATATATTTTAAAAGAATTAACAAACAAAATTCTAATTTAATATAAATAATATTTTAAAAAATTAACTTTTGACTTAACTTCAGTTAATTCAATCTTAACTTGAACTGAGTTAATTTTTTGTTCATAAAACTTTTAACTTATAACTAAAATAAATTTTATAAGCAAAGCAATTATAACTTCAACTTAAAAAAATCATTAACTTATCCAACCCTGCTCTAAGAAATAATTTCGTGCTCGATTTTAATGGTTTCGTTACGGCGATTAAAATCGCGCGATGCATATTAATTTACGATCAGATCGAATGGTACCTGAGCGAGCGAGCGAGCGAGCGAGCGAAACCGATCTGAAGCTTTTAGAAACTATGAAAACCGGGACGGTGATTACGGTGAAACCTTGCTGGAGCATGTCGATACCAGCGGAAGTCGGCTTCTTACGAGTGAAACGGGCAGGAAGCGCGCGGAAGGTGAAAACGCCGTGAAAACTCACCTCGCGTAAGATCGACTCGAAAGCGACGCGTCTATATGTGTGCGTCTATATATGTGTGTCATATTCGAGGGCGCGAGTCAATGTCGAGTAAGGTCGCACTCCCGTGTTTCCGGTGGTGGGCGAACAAAATTTCATCTTCCGTTCTTCGCGAGAAGTCGCGAGTTATTTTCGTACACGTCGCGCAATTTATACCTCGATCCGTCACTTCAAGATTACCAAAAAAATATATTTCTATATATAAAAATCAAAATTTCTTTGTTATTCGTTATTATATGTTTTAAAAGAATGAACAAACAAAATTCGAATTTAATATAAATGATATTTTGAAAAATCAACTTTTGATTTAACTTCAGTGAATTTGTAGAAAAGTCATGTATATTGTTAAATTATGCTGCGGAAGGAAACGGCATCTCTTATGACATTTTGACATCTCGAGACAAAATTCCAGTCGCTTTGCAGACTTTGACAGACACATGACTGCGCGGTTAATAATAACTAATTATAAAAGAAGAATGCACTTTTGACGTTTCGATTTTTTTTCCAACCGCGCCCGTCCTTTCTTGTGTTCGCGGAAGTAGACGGTGCCGAATGACAAAATGCTCGTTGAGAGTCGATTAAATCTTCACGCACGCGTGATGAAAATGCGAGACGACACATTGGGCCGCCCCAAAGGGGCCTCGCGAAGGAATGCAGCGGTAAAACGAAGCGTTTTTAAACAATGGCGGGGCTAATCTCTTCCGGGAGCCTTGAAGCTTTTATAAGTTCTATTTTTTTTTGCTTCTAAAAATAATTAAATGCTGCAAATATATTTTATTAATAATTCGCAGGATTTAAAAAAATTAATTAATTTAACATTAAAAATAAATATATATATATATATATATTAATATTAATATTGACATCATAATTTCTCATCAATTCGTGAATGATTTTTGTAAACATTATTGAAGTAGTATTAAAATTTTTACATCTTGTTTAACTTGAGCAATTTTTGCCGAAATATGCCAAATAAAATAACGCGATATTAAAATCGAGTCATAATTATTTTTAATTACAGCACAGAGATTAATGGCTAAATTAATTTTTCCGTTGCAAATATTGCGTAACGCGAATTGGAGGAAAAAAATATTGCATTCTTCGTTCCGCGGCGCCTCGCAAATAACTCGCATCCGCGATTATTGTAATGTTGCGGCTCTTACGAAGCCGCAAGGATATGCAATTTGTATATAGCGGAGGTGAATATTATTCATGGGAATACCGGTCTCTCTGTAATCTGCTGTACTACCGCGGCACATTAAATGCCAGTTTTTATACAATTTCATGCGCGATCCTTAAACGGTCCTTCCCGATTTGTACATACACATGTTACGTCAACGCAGAGATGCGTTCTTATACGGATGTGTCGTCGTAAAACAGTGAAAATCCTTTGCACACTTGCAATTTATTTTAGCAGGTATACTATATATTATCCATTTTTTTATTCTTAAAACAGTAATAAGGATAGATCGCAGAATTTATTTATTTATTTATTTAACGAGTAAGAAAACCCTTTAGTACTTACAAAATAAATAATAATAAAATTACGATCAGTAAAAAATAAATGAGAAAAAATTATATTTATTATTTATTATGTTTATTATTACATAGATGACAAGGATATATATGAGCTTTTTAAAAAAGCTCGCAATTGGGGAAAATAAATCTTTATATCGCGCGATTAAATTAAAATGTTTGCTGAGGCTTCATCTCGATCAAAAATTATTTTCTTAATCTCGTAACTCCGAAACGAAACGAAGCAATAAGAGATCCGTGTCGTTGCATAACGACACGAACCTCGCCGACCTTCCGAGAAACTAGGAGAGAGACCGAACGTTCACCGAGAAAATTCTCGCGAGAGCGAATTAGAAAATCGATCGACCGTAGTTTAGTTGAGAGTTTCTCGCCGTCATTTTCCACGGCGGGGATTTTTCGGGTCCGCTGCCGCGAGAAATTGCTTAATGAAGCCGCGCCGCCTGAAAGGAAGGTAGAAACGTTGCAGTGGGTCAAGGAGAGACGCCGGCTTTCACTTCCTCTCGACGCGAGCTCCTTGAGAGAGAGAGAGAGAACGCCTCCCGGAGAGTCGCGGTCTTTTTTTCCTTCTTCTTTTGCGCGCGCGCGCGCGCTCGCGTTTTTCCTTCCCTTGCTCGTGAGAACATTTATCCGCCTATGATTACGCTCGATTATTTCGATCGACGGGAGAGGATGTGTTTACGGTAAGATCTTAATGAACGCTTCCCCTCAAATTGAGCCACTTAACCTGGACGGGCGATCCGCGATATAATACACGGGTCACGATGAGCAGCTTATCTTGGTGCATCGTTTCTCGTTCATTAATGAGGAGTGGCTGCTTATTCGTTCTTTGTAACGCAGCAAATAAAAATTATGCTGGACTTTAATTTCCGAGATATAAATCGTTCACTCTCCCACCCTTTAGATATTTATTATTAAATATTATTACGAGATCTCTCGATATCTTCATCGATATATCTCTTATTCGCGAAAGCCGAGCGATTATTATCTTCCGAATTAAGATAGGTATTATTAAATGCGATACGCAGTTTCACTTTATATAAATCAAGTTGAAGCAATAAGGCGCGAGGAAAGTGAGGGAAAAAATTGTGTTTGGTGAATACTGCAGAAAATAATCAACAAAAATCATCCGATTTTAGATATTTGTTCGGTGTATTTATATAGCTTACAAGGAGTGAAACTTTCTTTCAAAAATAAAATGGCTTTTTGCTTCTGTCGATATATCTCGAAAATTATTCAAGATATCAAAAAATGTTTTAGACAAAAATTTTGTAGTAAAAACACATTTATTTAACCACGTTTATAAAATTAAAAAAAAATTTTTTTGAGGATAAATTTTCAAAATTTTATTAACGTGCTTAAATAGAGGTCTTTTGTCTAAAACATTTTTTGATATCTTGAATAATTGTCGAGATATTCGAGAAAATCAAGAAGCCATTCTATATATAAGGGGTGGTTTCATCCCCTCAGCAGGAACAAAAATAGTTTTGTATTACGGATGAATTACTCTACACTGAAAAAAAATTGGCCAACTTAATTAAAATTTTCAACTAAATATTATTTTGTTAATTGAACATATATTAATATTTATATACGTCAAATATACGTTTTATTAAATTTAGTATATTATATTTAAAATTTAAATATTTTTTATCAATTAACAAAATAATATGTAGTTGAAAGGTTTAGTCAAATTAACAAATTTTTTTCAGTGTACACTGAAAAAGATTTTCTTATATCAAATAGTTTTCATATCAAATCAATATTATTAGTATCAAATAAATGATTCATTTGACAGTATTGGAATAAATACTTATTGGAATTAAATAAATTGTTTTCAGTATACATACGTCAAAAACAGCTGTTTTTGACATTCTTGTATCAAATAAAAATTTATTTAATCGTCTGTCTCATTATCTGTTGCAGTGGACACCAGGGAGGTCCAACCGCACGACACGGGCGAGAAGGAGCAACTGGGCCTCGCGAGCGTGAAAGTGGAGCCGGGATCCACCAGCGCGACTACCACCAGCAGCACGGGAGCCCGTCTGCTCCACGGGATCCTCTCCCAGCATCCCCAGCAGCACGGCCTGGGGTTGCAGAACGGATACGGCCGACACTTGGCCGGTCATGCTCAGATGGGCCAGCCGCCTTACACTACTGCCGCCATCGCCACGAGTACGCCAGGTAAAAAAGCACACTCGGTTTTTGAAAACTTTTTTTTTTTTAGAAACTGATGAGCTGCTGAATAAGCAAGTTGCACTGAAAAAAAGATGTTAATATTTATTTTAATAAATATTTATTTTAAATTAAATAAATATTTATATTATTAAAATAAATATTTATTTTAATAATGCCATTAACTAATAATATTGATCTGCCGTGAAAAAGTACTTATTTGATATAAGAAATCTTTTTTCAAAACAAATATTTATTTGCTTGAAACAAATGTTAATGGCACTATTGAAATATGTATTTATTTGAAATTGCAATAGCTTTTTTTCAATGTGCAATATAATTTTGATGTGCTGTCGATAGAATAGGATTGGAACTAGAAAAATGAAGGAGAAATCTGGGATAATTTTTCAATGTATTATATATATACATTGAAATAATAATTTTCCAATATACTGGAAGAGAAAAAAATAAAGCCAGTAAAAGAATATATATGATGACAGTTTTAATAGAATGTGAAACAAACATGACATGTTAAAATAAAAAAAGTAGACGATTGTAGAATATTTGACATCTCTTAAAGGAATATAATATTTCAGAATTTAATCACATTGTCGATATTGTTTTATTATTAAAAGTTGACACGAGCTATTTAAATAATTTGTAATTTGTGTGAACAGGATGTCGTTTTTTTATTTTGACATGTCATTTTTTATTTTTAAAGCTGTTAGCTTCAATTTCTGAATAAATGTCGTAGATATGTTTGCATAGAAAAAAATATCACAATCATGCTAAAATAATGAACTTTCGTGGACGATTGACGTTGAAAAATAAAAGAGGACGATTTCCGGTCAATTATCGGAACACGCTAAATCAAGGCGCCGCGAGACAGCTATCTTGTAAATTCTTATTACCGAAGTGACAATCGCGGATCACGTTTCGTCGACGATTGCTCCTATTTCGCTTAAATTGACCGAGAAGCGGAACGAGATGAAACAGTAAGAAGAAAAGCAGCGATTTCTGAAGGAACAATTATAATCGCGCGAAAAGCGGAAAGCGCTCGTCTCGGACGAAAGCAAAACAAACGATTTCCGCGTTCGGAATCGAGATTAGTGGAGCAGCGGAGTCGATTTCACAAAAGTTGCAAAGTCGCGGAATGACAAAAGCCGCCGAGGCTTGTCAGGAATTCGGGCATTAAATCGATTCTCGCGAAATGCACTCGATCGTTGCGCAAAGCGGCGAATTCGCGGATATCGGCCTTGCATAACGACGCGACAAGAGAGAGAAAGAGAGAGGACGGGAGCGAAAGAGAGCGATGACTCTGTGCAGGACCCTTCAGGATCCGTTCGAGACGGTTGGAGGGGAGAGAACCGTGGGAAGAGCGAGCGATATGCATACCCAATGACCGGATGACCTTCGCCCGTTGCATAAAGATGCCTTTAATTGACGGCGCGCGCGAGAACACGTTCGAGGCACGGCTCGGTGACGTTCGATAAAGCCGAGCGAGCTCTCCGTCTCGGCGCGGCGAGGACATCTAATTTGTTTAAAGCGACGCGCGGCTTTAATTCAGGCTCCGCCGAACCCGGGTCGAACTATGGCCGAACGAATTTTAGCCAAGTTTTTGTCGCTCTAGATTTCATCAATCCGAACCATCGTGTGTATGTGTATGCATCCTGATGACGTCAACGGGAGGATTGTATTGAAATTCCGCGGCGAACTTGCAACTTTTGGAAACCGATAAAAAAAACGATATATTGAACAATATAAATAAAAAATTAATATGCATAATTAATATTTTTACTTATACATTTTTTTTATGTATATATAAAATTAATTGAAATAAATTAATAGGAAATTCCCTCTAAAGAAGGGAAAGAAAATTAGCTGAGAACGAAATTTTAAGAATGTAAATGGCGCTTTACCATTTTTTTTTTTTCTAAAAGACAGATAATTCCTTCCCGGAGCGTCTTTCATTTATATCGTCCTCTTTTGCGCGAAACGGTGTATATCGTTCGGGGAGATTAATTGACGATGTCGCGCCTTATCGCCAACCCTAAATTCTGCTGTCGACTATTTATCACAGAGGACGCGTCCCCTTTCTTTGTTTCATGCCGTCGTCGACCGGAAGCAGGAAGCGGATCACTGCCAGCGAGCCCAGCGGACAGCGGAGTCAGCGATGTCGAGTCCAGCACATCCTCCGGCGGCAACGAGGACGCGAATCTCTTATTGAAAGCCAGGCTCAATCCTAATTCGTCCCTACAGCCGGGTCTGGCGTCTCATCACTCTCATCTGTCGTCGGGTGAGCTCTTCATTTGATCGCGATATCGTTAACACACGCTTGACTCTCTCGTATTTAATTTATAGACTTTTAGAATCAAATTATAATTTCCTGCATATTCTGAAGATCTCGTATCGATACTAGAATTTTTCATAAACAATGCATTATTAAACTGTTCTACAAAAATAATGAACCAGAGCGAAATTAGTGCAATTATTAATTTAAATTAACATTTAAAGGAATTTATCCGCCTTTAAAGGTCTAATTTTTTAAAACAGATATTTAATTAATAATTTAAATTAATCATTTAATATCTATTTTAAATGTAGTAATTTAAATGAATAATTTAAATTACTAGAATTGAAAAGATAAAAAATGCAAAATTTCGCTCTAAAATAATGAGATAAAATTAGACGAGATCACGCAAATAAGTGACGAAAATCGCGCGACGCATCTCGATCTGCGAGACTTTCTTATCGAGCGCCTGTCTCGATTGCTCGATAGCAGCCCTCGGCAGATCGGCCTGTCACAGCCCCGGCGTTTATCCGTCGACGGCGACCTTTCTGCCGCCCTCTTATCATCCGCATCAGCATCATCCCTCCCAGTATCATCCGCATCGGGGGAGCTCGCCGCACCATCAGCACAGCAACCACACCATGGGTTCGACGATGGGGCCGCCTCACCATCACCACCATCACCATCAAACGCAGAGTCTGCAGCACTTGCATTATCGCCAGCCACCCTCGCGTAAGTTTCGACTCTCAATTTTTCACGATAAGATCCTATTCTATATTGCATGCGACTTTCCGCAGAGAACATTTCCGACTTTGAAATTATGCGACAGTATTTTAACAGGGTGTCTAGCAGTCAGGGAATTTTATAAATCTGGAATTATCAGAAATTTTTATATTTATTTGGATTTTTTTTTTTTACATTATTCTACATTTGTTTCAATAATTTGAAACTCTTTGTTAAATAAATTTATTAAATAATTTTATTAAATAAATATAAAAAAGATTCCAATACTCAGGGAAAAAAATGAATTTCTGGTTTTGGAAAACCTGAAAAAATCAGGGAATTTGACTATTTATCTGGATTTTTTCACACTGTTCTACATTTATCTGAATAATTTAAAATTTTTTATTAAATAAATATAAATTATATAATTATAATTTTGTTAAATAAATATAAAAAATATCCCAAGGATTTCATGATTTAACATTTAATTGATTTATCATATAGATATATGCAAATTATACATATATTTGGAAGAAATAATACAATCAGGTGAAAATCAGGGAATTTTTTTTTCATTGACTCCGCTGGACACCCCGTTTAATAGCGATGAGATTCCTCCATGAAATTTTCACGTATATATATAGGAGAGCAACAGATCTCTCTGACAAATCTTGAGATTTAAAAATAGAAACGATATAGAACGATCGGAATAGATTTTCTAAGCGGATTCAGCCTGGACTTACAATAAGGCGGGCCTTTTCTTTGACCTCGTTTACTATCGTCGGCAATTTCGACGATAACGAATGTATCTCCCGTTCCCATCGCGATCGATGATCGCTGGTCGAAAAGTGGGGAACGAGAGAGAGAGAGACGGGAAGAAAGTGTTCGATGAAACAGTGATTTCGGTATATCTCGCGTCTGGCATCAGAAGCCTGGATCGTCGTGACGTAACGACGATTCTCGGTAGCCCGGGTTTATTTCGACTTCGCAGGGATATCGATTCGATCGTCGCCGACCAACCAAACGCGCCGGAGTGTATTCTCGCTTTTTCGCGGATTATCATGCACGCGATAGGGGCAAATGCAAAAGTAATACGATTCTGAGCGGTTTAGCGATATGCAGGTTTTAATCTTCGCTCTTTTTCGTCTATTGTAAGTTTCTGTTTCAGTCGCGAAAGTTGATTTTTTTTCTCTTTTTGCTTCCGATGAATATATGTGCGGTCGAAGGGAGAACTCTGTGACAAAAAAGTATTACGCTACCAAATCGGGGACTGGCTGAATATTTATATATCTTCGTCGAGTGTGTCAAACGCGGCGGCTCTCTTGTAAAAGCTGATTGACGTGAAATATGAAAAACTCGGGGGTGAGAATAGAGAGAGGACAGCCATTTTTAGCCGCATCAACTTCCGTGAAACGCTGCAGCTAATAAGTATATAAAGTGATCGCGAGTCCAGATGCGGATGTCTATTATATTCCTATTTTACCTTTAATATTTCTTGAAACACTTCTATTTCCGTTTATTTCTGAAATAGCGCCCGTGTTTTCTAATAGCACATACACGAAACCGTATTTAGTTTCGAACGTATAAAAAATGCCTGTTACATGCACTTTAGTTAAGAATAATTTGGCGACACAATTATTTTCTTGGCAAACGAGCTTTATATATAATTTTCTTGATTAATTGATGCGAGACTGATTGACGAAAAGTGCCAAATATACCGTCTGTTATAGATAAAATTATTGTAATAAGAATGTAATCTCTCGGAAAGATTTTCTCCGTGAGAGAAAGATCAAGTTTTCTAATAGATATAAAAGATCCAATATTTAATCCGCGCGTCTCGATCGGAACAGAAGAAGTTGGGCCGAGTTTCTTGTAGGAGAAGGCAGGAAACCAGCGCGATCTAGTCGATTTCTGAAACTGAAATCGCGAAGAAACGACTTCCTTCGCGCGCGGCAGATGCAGAAGTGAAAGGATTTCGCGGGAAAACGCGCGATGAAAAGTGCGAACTCGCTCGTCGTCATCCCCGATGCCTTCGCGCGTCTCTCGTTCTCGTGACCCACTTGACGTTCTCCGATTCGACGGCCCAGATTCGCTTCCTGCTGCCGTCGCCGAAGCATTTCCGTCTACGCGCGGTTTTCTCTTTCGATGCTCTCTTGCGATCTCCCGTCGACCATTTTTTCCCATTTATATATCATCTCGTTTCGTTAGATTTTCGTTCGCATCTGTCAAATTTAATTCGTCATATATAAAAGTAAAACGAATGGAAAAGTTTTTTTTATCAATATTTTGGAAAAATATTTTTTTAAATCTACTTTTTAATAAAAAATATTTTTTCAATTTTTAAAGGGATCCTATATTTATTTTTGCGCAAAAAGAATGGTTTATAGGATCGCTTTAAAATTGAGAAAAATGTTTTTTATCAAAAAGTTTATTGTAAAAAATATTTTTCAAAAAAATTTATAAAAAAAATTTTCGTTCTTTTCAAGGATCCCCTTAAAAGTCAAAATTTGACAGTTCTCTAAGAGTAGATATTAATTATGCGTGACAAGCGCGGGAGAGCCAGTAAAATTTTTTAAGGGGATCCTAAATTCATTTTCGCGCAAAAATGATGTTTATAGGATTCCCTTAAAATTGAAAAAAAAAAATATATTTTTTATTAAAAATGTTTTCTATTCTTTTCAAGGATCCCCTTAAAAGTCAAAATTTGACAGTTCTCTAAGAGTAGTTATTAATTATGCGTGACAAACGCGGGAGAGCCAGTAAAATTTTTTAAGGGGATCCTAAATTCATTTTCGCGCAAAAATGATGTTTATAGGATTCCCTTAAAATTGAAAAAAAAAAATATATTTTTTATTAAAAATGTTTTCTATTCTTTTCAAGGATCCCCTTAAAAGTCAAAATTTGACAGTTCTCTAAGAGTAGTTATTAATTATGCGTGACAAGCGCGGGAGAGCCAGTAAAATTTTTTAAGGGGATCCTAAATTCATTTTCGCGCAAAAATGATGTTTATAGGATTCCCTTAAAATTGAAAAAAAAAAATATATTTTTTATTAAAAATGTTTTCTATTCTTTTCAAGGATCCCCTTAAAAATCAAAATTTGACAGTTCTCTAAGAGTAGATATGAATAATGCGTGACAAGCGGGAGGATCGGTATAAAATGAATAATATTGAATATATCTGGTGCGAAATCTCTCCTCTCCATCGCCATTAAATCGGGGTTGAATTCGAATCCAATCTCGACATCTGGCGTCGCGTGATTCCAGAGAGGAGACACCGGGCGCTCTCGGATTGGCGCCAAGGTTGATTTCTTGACGTGCGCGGGTCGCGGATGGAAAGTCGTCGACGCTCTTCGCAAATCGCGGTGAAATTCTCTGCGTGCGAGCGCGGAGTATCAATTATCGCCGCGAAAAGAAGAGAAAAGAGAGGCAGGCAGCCGCCGCGTCGAACGGAAGCGGCAGCGTTGTTGTGTTGCGTTTTATTATCATCGTAGGCCGCAATTCCCGCCGCGTCGCTCCCGACAATGAGATCGAACTTTCCCTAATTGAAAAGATCTCGCGTACGAGAGACTCTGCCTTTAACCTCCTTTTTACTTCGCTCCTCGACGTCGTTTCGCTCGGAGAAAAAAAAGATTGACAGCTGCATCTCCGTATCTTTCAAATGTCACTTGCGCTTCTAGATAATATAATCGACTGTATAAGTGTACTCTTATATATTCATAAATATATATATATATATATATGTTGATAAAAATTTGTGTGGTTTCCAATAACAAAGTTTTAAACGGCGCAGTTTAATAATTTAATCAGCGATTAATTCATAAAAAAAAAACGCTGCGAAACAGCAGGCTGTTAAAATTTAACATCTTGTTTCCTTTCGATTAAGCGAAGAAATTATATAAATCGCGGTGAAAAGCCTTACAATCTTGTACTCATTATGATTTTCTCATCGTGCTCCAAATCTGACAGCTAATAGGAGAAATGCTATAGTTTCTTCTTCATCTTGTAAAAATTCGATTTTATCTCGATCGAAATTAAACGAAGAAGAGAAAAGGTTTGTCGAAAGAGATCCGGGAACAAAAAAAAAACACATTAAAATAAAAATAAAATCAATCTTCGAATGCAAATTATGAAAAAAATATCACTTGTTCTTTTACATCACACACATTATTTTCTGGTTTTAAAATTGTCGAAAAATATCCGGGAGCGGAAAAAAACACATTAAAATAAAATTGAATAAATCTTTTAATATATTAAAAGATTTATTCATTTTTTTATTTTTTATTTTATTTTATTATATATATTGTTTATATTAATATTTTTTTTTTTTTTTTTAATTTTAATTTTTATTATTTTATATATAAATGATGAAGAAAAATATTATCTGCGCTTTGTCGCACGCTATAGTTCGGTTTTAAATTTTCTAAGAGAAACGCGAGGTACGGGGGACTTTTTCCTTTTTTTTTTTCTCACGAAAGACGGAGGATGCTGCTGGCATGAAGTTTGGAAAGTAAGGGACACAAAAATGCCGTAACGACACTGCGCCTCGATTCGCCGCGCCGCGCTTCGAGTAAAAGTGTGCCAGATTGTATAATCGAACGTGAATAAGCAAAATGTTACGCCATAGCGATTTGGTAACGTCGTCTCCCCTCTTTCTCTCTTCCCATTTCGTCGGGCACGGCCGTGTTCCCATTGCGGTAAGCGCAATGATATTCGCGCGGGCGGTGGACAGGAGAAAATTCAACCTGTTAAGGCCAGACATGTAGGAAATGATACGTTCGAAATGAAAAAAATATATGTACATCAGCTATTTTTTTCCTGCTCGATTATAAAAAGATTTATAATAATTTTAGTTGTACACAGAGAGAATTCTTAGAATTTACCCTAAAAATTAATGATAAAATGGAACAATATGCGGTATTGGAAGAATTTTATAAGAGTGTCATCTCTGTGATTATATAATATTTACACTGCAATAAAAAATTAATCGAACCTATTTTATATCTTATTAT